ATGGAATCTAACGAACTAAATAGATGAACAAAACAGGTCCAAAGGAATGGACACATGGCTTAGACTGACAGATAACAAAGGAGGCAATGAGAAGAGATTTACCAAAGAACATATATGCATAACCCACGAACATAGACAATAATGTGGTGAAGCCCTGAATTAGGCAAGGGTTGAGTAGAGGGGAACAAGGGGGATAGATGGGGGACATCTGTATTACTGTGAACAATGTAATTACTTTTTAAATGCCACAATGAGATACAATCTCACACACATTAAGATGCTAGTTTAAAATCAAAAATTAAATATAAATAAATAAATACTAGGGTTGGCAAGGATGTGATGAATTTGGAATCTTGTGCACTACTGATGGGAAGGAAAAATGGTGCAGTTATTATATGAAACAGTACAGTGGTTCCTCAAAAAATTAAACATACAATTACTATATGATCCAGCAATTCCACTTCTGGGTATATATAATACTCCAAAGTATTCAATGTATAATCTCAAAGAATTGTTTGTACACCCGCGTTCATCACAGCATTATTCACAATAGCCTAAAAGTAGAATCAATCCAAATGCCCAACAATGGATGAATGGATAAACAAAATACAATATGTACCAACAATGAAATATTTAGCCTTAAAAAGGAATGAGAATCTTACACAATCTAAAACATGGATAAACCTTGAGGACATTATAAGTGAAATAAGTCAGTCACATAAAGACAAATACTAGATGTTTCCACTTGTATGAGATACTTAGAGAAATCAAATTCACAAAGGTGGAGAGGAGACTGAGGTTACCAGGGACTGAGTGGAGAAAAGAACAGGGAGTTAATAGTTCAATACAGAGTTTCGGTTGGGGAAGATGAAAATTTTCTAGAGATGGATGGGGCTGATGGTTGCATAGAAATGTGAAGATATTTAATGCCAATGAACTATACACTTAATTTGGCTTAAATAGTAAATTTTGTTGTATAATAAACAATTAAATAGCCACATGCAGATGTAGCTAGTGGCTACTCTGTTGAACAGTAGAGGTCTAAGTGAGCCACAAGCATATGAATAATGTGAAGTGGTCACAGAAACAAGAGACAAAATGGCCAACATAATATACACACTATCTACACATACATAATAGGCCCAGAAGAGACAAGATCAGAAATTTGAGTCTTCCTATCTATGGAAAACAATGCTGATAAAGGAAATGTCCCCATTGGCTATAGTTTTGTCTCAAAATAATGACTTACACCCTTGGTATTTTCCTACCTTTGTGTTTTGTGTGGTTTTGACTGAGTCATATAAATTAGGCCAAATTCTCTATTTGGGGTGTATTAAAAGGTGCTTTGAGCAATTTGTGACCTTAAAGACAGAAGCCATCACATTATTTCATCTGGAACATAGTTCTGTTTTCTTAGAAAGAACATCAAGCCAAAGAATTGGATGTACTATATAGATTTGTGTAACATTTTGTCTTTTGGTAATAGGTAATACTTATACAAGGGTCAATATTTGGAAGCTTTCCCAGGATGTGATAAATTCGGGGGTGTAAAGAGAGAGAGAGAGTTGTGGAAAACCATTACTATATCATTGCTACCTACCACTGACCAACAATTCAATTCATATTTATTTCATGAAAAGGGAATAGGTATTAATGTGAAAAATCAATGTGAGTACATTATGAATTCATGCATTCAATACTGAGAATTCCTAAATGGGGAGTTAATCCAAATAAGGTGATTTATTTTCTATAGCTATCTCAAAATCTCTAACCTGCCAATATATAATGTGACTTTCCAATAATGAAGATATAGTATGTAAGGAGTGTATTTGCAAATGAACCAAAACAGAGAAACCTCTTTTCAGATCCAGGGTGCCATAAAACATGCTTGGGAAATAGCACTTCCAGCAATCAGCTCAAGCAGTATGAAGACAACGGAGTAGAAAAGTACACTGAATCTGATGATTAATGAGGAGTTGAGTGTGACTGCAGGGCCATGAGTTAAATTATTTAAGGAAGTAATATTGATATTATATTCTGGAGGTTGAAGTACAAATATGTACAAAACTGATAAAGAAGTCTAAAGGTCAATAAATGTAGACCTTCGATGGCAAACTCAAGATTTTTATTTTATTCTGTGAAAAGAGGAGGTAATGAAAGTTTTGTTGCAAAGGGAGATGGATGGTTGTGAATTAATGGCCAAGTGTGAAGTGGTATGAACAGATAGGAGTAAAGAATTGTAACTGAAAGATCAGTCAAGTGATACTGAGGCTGGTCAACTAAGGGTCTGAGCTAAAGCAGGAATGTGGATTGGGAAGAGTGGGATGATTACATGATTTTTAGTCTTCTACTCAAGATTTTACAGTTGGATATATCCTAAAAATTTTCTTAGCCTGAACTCTATTCTTTTCAAGATCAGAACTTATGGTTTATCTCAAAAGACAGCTTTGTCCCTTGCTATACAATTAAACTTAGGTTTCTCTCCTGAGCTGTCATCTCCACACCTCTTATTATTGGAACACAAGATTAGCACATGCTATTTCTTTCCAAAAATGACATCAGTATGGATTCAACCATGCATTACAGTACTTCTGCCGTTGCCCATGAGCTAGAAGTCAAGAACTGAATAGCAAAAAGACATGAGGTATAATCAATTTCATCCTCCATGAAGAAGTTATTACACAAATAACGAGGCAAACCTCTCCAATCTAAATAATAATGGGGTGGATATCATTGGGATTACTGAATCAAATTAATAAATCAGCTACTGATAAGAATATAATAACAAGATACTAAATGCAAGGGTATGTTTTTTTTTGCATTCAAATGCCCTTTAAACATATGATTTCAGCAGAGTAGTCACATTTTAACTCCTTTTAAAAAGGCATAAGAGTACATGGGCATCATTAGAGGTATAGAGATGAAATTATTTCTCTTTGAAGTGGAAAATGAAAGGCCAGTAATGATAATGCATATGATCAAGTGCAGTGAACTTAGGTGAGAGGCCAAAAAGAAAGTCTCAAGTCAGCTACCTCTTGATTAAGGAAGAGCCTCTGCAGATGGAGACGTGGGCCACACCTCAGCTTCAAGTGTTCCATTTCCAATTCACTCAGTCTTTTCCCTGGTCATTAATTACTATACTCTTCCCTTTGCCCTCACAAATGGGCACAAAACTGCTCAGCAGGTCGGGGGAAAAATGATCAAGAGTAGCATTCTAGACATTTCATTATTCAAATCAGCATAAAGTGATTACATAAAATCCCTAGGAGATTGAAGTGGCCTTCTTTGCACTTTTAAAACTATACTTTGACTAATAGAAGGTCTGTCCTATTTAACAGCTCACAAGACCTCCTCAACGATCTCTCTTCTTTGACCACAGTTAGATCTAATGCAAAGCATTATAACTGGCAACAAGACTAGATTCATTATTCAGTTTAAACTAATGAGAATATTTGTTCAAGTGATGTTATTAATGGGTTGCAAATGCCCATCAGATAAAGTACTAAGACAATGTTGAAAGCAAGCAAATTAAGTCATCATAGGCCTTAAAGTCAATGTCTGAGGCTGCCATGATAGTGTGATTTGTAGAAAATTAAGGCTTAAATAAGAGCTCACACTGCTTTTTCCTACTGCTATTTGCATGTCTCTGTATAATAAATTTGTGAAGCTGACAGAGACTAAATTTACAAATTTGACCTTCTAATGAATACAATGACATTTAAAAGTCTCAAAGGTCACCCTCATAACAATAAAATCATTCCACTGAAGTAAAAAAAAATAATAATTTTAAAACATTTGGAGAAAGGACCAAGTAATATCATTAGTACGTATTGGCCAGAGGCAAAGAGTAGGGGGGATGAGGTAGAGATGTTCCATGTTTTATTATCAACTGCAGCCTTTTCTTATTAGAAGCATTCAGAAATCATTAAAACATTGTCACCGACAAGGTGAAGTTTTGACACTGCTATAGAGCTTACATAGTTTTAATAACAAATATTATGTGGAATCATTAACACATCTTTGCTCACATGGCTGTGTCTTTAGAAAAAAAAAAAATCTAAAGTATAATAATAGCTTACATTTCCATGGCAGAATGAGTTACAAATGCATTACCTCTTTAGATTTTAAACCTTTCTGTTAAGTTTTAACAGAAAGAAAAGTATTAATAAGAAAAGTATTATTTCCCCATTTTTCAAATGGATAAAGACAATGAGAGTATGGTCTAAAATCACGTGGTATTTGAACTCAAAATTCAGGGAACTTTTCACTGGACTTCGCTTTGCCTTATTTTGACTTTGTGTGGTAGAAGGACAGAAATGTCACCTCCCTCTAAAGAGATTAACAATGCAATGGCAGGAATAGCAATGACCCAGATGAAGAAATGTCTCCTGGCAGAATTCTACCTGGTCTCTAGATATTTTAAAAGCATTGCTTAGAGCAAAAGAGAATAAAACACACACACTTTTTAATTAATCTGTCAAAATCATGCAGTCAGGTTGTTGAGCCTGATTCTTTGAATATAAGAATAAAAGTGAGCTGAAGTTAATGCTAGATCATGGGATTAAAACATATTATATATTACATGTATACATGTATACCCACACATACGTCTAAATATATTTTTCTAAAGGGGGTAATAATGAATAATTTACCTTATCTTCGGAATATTTAAATACATTGCAAAACAGCACAGACCAAAATAAATGAATAAATAAATAAATGAGTCAGCCAACCCCCAGGGATTTGACATAATGACTGATTTATAATAGTTAATTAAAAACAATATTACAAAAATGAATCTATTCTCCTTGACCAAAAAAGACCTATCTGCTAAGAATTAGGTTCAGATCACTTTGACTTACACATGTACATTTTCTAATATCTGTACCAGCTTTTATGTTGTATTTTAATTTTCCAGCAAAGCTTTCATGAGCTAATATAACTGCTATGCTTATGGGTTTAATGAGAAGAATCTTCAGCTCTCTGTCCCTGGGCCTCACCTTGTGAAGTCTGTCATTTCCATCATGATCATGCACATCTGCTTGGCCAGCACAATGATGTCATTGCCGCTGTCATCCCATTTGGCCACTTCGGCATCCAGCTTGCTTTTCTCTTGGTGGAATATCTCCACCTGCTCAGCTATTTTTGCCTTCTCCTCCTGCGGTAGTTGCGCCATGATGGCCTGTGTGGGTTACAGAAGAGAGTGACTCATTGTGACAAAGGGAGTAGACTAGAGGTTGTCTCTGCCTCCGGTTAATGGCAAAGCCTTATAGGCTGTCCCTCCATTCTGGAAAGTATGTTTCTTCCATCCCAGGGAAGGCAAAAGCACAGGCATCTGATGAGGTCCCCAAATTCCCCATCCCCACTCCCACATGCGAAAAATATGGGGATCAAAATGCATATGCACAGTCACAATTAACAGGACTTCTCTGCCGCTTTGACAACATATGTTTGTTCAAAGGAATCTATTCTGGACAATTTTTATATTTGGTCACAGGAAACTTTTACCAGATAAAAGAACACACCTCTTTCAACACTAAAATCTGTTCTTGAGAAGCAAAAAAAGAAAATAGGCCTTCTGTCACTAAGAAATTTTAAATACTATCCAAGCATCCAAGTGGGGTGGGGTGGGGATACTTTTTATGAGTGTTAATAAAGGAATCTGGTTAGATGTAGAACAAAAATCCCCTCTCCAGGGCATTTTGTGGATGGCACACCTATTCCTAGACCTCAGTGGAAATTCTGGTAGGACCAAGGCTCCTAGTAAAGCCTATGAGCGTGTAGACAGAGGCAATGGGATGGGTAAAAATATGTAATTAGGAAACAAAGGTTGATTTTCAATAGTTGCTTGGCAAGGGAATGTAGAAAAGGAATGGCTACAGTCAATTCTAATTTTTCATAGATTCTTTACTTGCAAATTTACCTACTCCTCTAAAATTTATTTACAACCCCAAATCAATAATTGTGCTTTCACAGTCATTCATGGACATGCCCAGAGATGCAAATAAAAATGAGGCACCTGACCTACATGTTCTTAGGTAAGGTTGAAAGAGCGATTCTCTATTTTCTTTTTTCAACACTTATACTATAAACTAGAGACTTGATGCACAAAATTCCTGCAAGAGTCAGCCTGCTTTCATCTGGCTGCCAACACTAGCTTCTCTCTTACAGCAGTAAACAATTGCCTCAAAATGGCATGGTGGATTTAGCAAATGAAATAAATGTGTTGAGTTTTTTCTGGGAAAAAAATGAAGTTAAGCATGTGTGGGGTTATGTTAACATTATTTTATCATCATTTCTATATTAGTTTTCCTTACAGATATCCCTATAACTTATTATTTAGTTGCCATCAAAGGGAAGGAATAGGCCCAGAGACTATATAACTATTTACCGATACAGGACTGACATGAAACCCAGACATATAAACTGAGTATTATGCTGAGAAACTTACCAACATGAAACACACACACACACACACACAACTTAATCTACTGTATCATTCTATAAGATTAATACTATTATTACCCCTATGTTATTAATGATGATGCCAAGGCCTAGAAAATTAAGTTCCAAGTATTATACAACCAATAAGCTGTAGAAATAGGATTTAAAGCCCAAGCAAGCTAACACCATACTTAACCATTGTTTACAACTGAATCACCATGACTGATCAGACACTGCATAGCAGTCTCAGTCAATAGGACAAATGCCAGTGAAACCATAGTACTGTCCACCGGGCTGAGTATCTTACAGATGAGGGAGAGTTCATCTGCCCAGAGTAAGGGGTGTCTTTGTCTGATTCGCATTAAGGTGTCATTGGATTAGCAGTTGCCTGGATGCTGCATCTCACTAATAGACAGCCATGTTTACTAATGTCCATGTTTGCATGTGACTTTATATAAATAATGCATGTCTGAGTGTGCACATAATGTATGTGCGGGGGTGTGAATGTGCGTGTTTTATTTACATAAGAGTTTTCATAAATTCACATATGCAATGTACTTATGACAAGACAGCTATTCCAATGCATTCAGACAGGTTTTGATGATCTGAAGCTGTCCTAGATTACCTTGCCCTCCAACAAAAAGTTGATAATCATATTTCACTTAGACCTCTCAAGCCCAACCAGCATCATGTAAGCATCCATTATGTATTTCCCTGTATGAGAATCCACCAGCCTATCCCACAGACCTCCAGACTCCACATTTAGTCCTCAGATTAAAAGCGACGGGTCTTTCATTATCCCCAAAGAGTTAATTTGTATATTGAAGGATGTATGTTAGTTCTGTGAACCGTTTCACTTGAGTTTCAACTGTGCAATGTAGCATTCGAATATTAACTGCCTCACTCTTCTCTCTAATTCTTATTAATGCCCTACTTCTGGCTCCTCTACAAGCTTCCTAAGGGTAGAGGCCTTAATATTCTATACAGAATAGAAGCTCAATCGATATCTTTTGATTGACTGCCTAAACATTTTCCCACTTATTGCATCAACATCGTTCAAGAGAAGTTACCAGAGCATACAAACATTTTCTTTGGGCAAAATCCTGAAGAAAAACTGGTCTCTTCAGAGCAGATTTGCAAAGGAAATGTTATTTTGACTCTAAGGGTGTTCAACTTGCATAATACACTAAATGTTGTGTGACTTGGGTACAAGTATTATATAAGCTTCTTCATATGTAGCCATTGATGAGCTGAAGTCTTTTTCCTAAGTATTTTTAAACTGCTCTTGCTTTCAAAAATTCATAATTGACCTTTTCTGAAACTAGAATTTACAAAAAGGTTATCTATAAACAGTAGATCACAAACTACAAAATTTGCAAGTTAATCAAATTAAAATTCAATATATCAGTTTTAATTAGGTCTTATCAGTGTAACTCAGCAGTTTGAAATGTTAACACATTAGGGCCGTTCTGGCAAAAAAAAAAAAAAAAAAAAAAAAAGTAGATGCTTTGTACACTGAAATCAAATAGAATACAAAATTAAAAAAAACAAAACATGGAATTATTCATTCCTTCAAACTAATGGAATATGAGAAAAAGTATTTACAAGGCGAAGAGGAAAGGGAGCGAATCCGCTTTTCTGTGTGTGTGACGTGATCACCTGGGGTGGGCTGGGTGTTTCTGCCTCTGATCACAGTAGCCAAGCACAAGTTTCCAGAGTGTTAGGCTGATTGACCTGAAGGCCCAAAATTATGACATCAGAAACCTGAATCCACAATGTTCCCAATCCCCTCATCCCAGGTTCCCAGTTTTTCTTCTGAACAGCCAACCATTCTTTTGTGTGTGATGTTATAAACTCTACTTTTTAAATAAAAGTACAAATCACTTATCCAAGACAATAACCACTCAGCCCAGAATCTTCAATCTAAATCTCAAGAAGGTTCTCAGGTACTTCAATTTCCCATCTCAAAGGAAAAAATGACTTTTGAAGTCTATGGGCCTCCTAAACTGACAAGTGTTAGTTTCTTAGATGCAGAGCAAGAGTCTTCAAGTAGATGAATGATTTTAAATAATAAGTAGAAGGGCTAAAGCTCCATGCAGCCATTTCTACTCACTGAAGACAGAAAGTAGGATAAGAACTACAAGTAGTTAAGGAGTGGGTCCTCTGACTTTTGCCAGTCTCAGGCTATGAAGTGATTTGAAATATAGAAGCAATTGTCTTATTAACTCAAACAAACATGGTCATGACTGCTTAAATTATCCAGCTTTCAGGGTAAACTATTTGGCTAACCTTCTAAAGAATGACTCATGTTACAAGCATCATCACCATCATCTTCATCAACTTCCCATTCTCTGACAAATCTTGTCATACATTTTATCATGCAGTTCTCCTAATGACATTACAAGATAAGATGCTTTATATAGAAGTAAAGGGATGAAGCATGAAGAGGTTAAGAAATTAACCCTTGAGTCACATAGAATGGTCAATACCAAATTTAAAATCAGGTCTACATTAACTCCAAATAATACTAGTATATTCTATCACCAAGGCTAAGTGCCCAAGACTTATTGCTGACCAATGTTAGTTATAATAATCTGTGAAAAAAAGAGTTAATAAGATGTCATGCCAGGGTCTGATCACATCTATATTTGATTAGAGCATGGTATGATCATTCCCATTCTTTCATTCTCCCTTGCTCACTCCCTTTCATAATATGGTATAGAGAAGCATCAGGCATATAAAAGAAATAAACACTCTAACTTCAGAATTTAAGAGCAATGTTGGAGTGGGTACTAAAAGCTTTTTTTTCCACCTTGACCTCCTTTTAGATTAATTTAACATTTCAGAGAAGAATGGTTGAATGAGAACACAAAGTAAGGCCATTACCAGGCGAGGACTGGCTGCTAAAAAGAGCAACTGCCTCTGTAAAAAACAACTTCTGCCTCCTTCACAATTTTAACCAAGTTAACACACTTCTTTGGTCAAAAGTTCAACCATCTGTCATCTCAGCAATTCAATGCGCCCTCTTATTTCCAACTTACAGCCTTAATTCTATGCCTCTGATTTGTCATCATCTAATTACAGGCTAACGTAGGCTGACTCAATAACTAATGCTGTCTGCTGCAAGTTAATCACACAGCACATGATGGATCTCAAAGAAGTCAGCAAGTGCTGGATTAGAGCAATACTTTGTTCTTACTATCCTGGACCATGTTCAGAATTCATGATGAAAAATAGTTCAAAAAAGTTTATTATCTTTTCAGTAGTTGGGTGAAGAAATAACTGATGATGCAGTTAGGTGCCATCTGATTTTGATTTCTACCCATAACTGGCTTGATGTCTAATGTAAGTAAGATGCATGAAATGGAAGTGCAATGGGACTTTGTTCCTCCTTGTAAAAAAGTGGAAGCATATCATGCTATTTTGACAGATAGTGATTAGAAGAGTTGTACAATATGCCTTGGTCTTTGAGAAAACAAGTCAATGGTTACCAGGCTGTATCAATTCTGAGTTGCAATCAATCAAATTGACTTTGAATTGATTAAAGTTTGGATGAATTACTCAAACTTACCCTCTGTCATTGATGTAAAAATGCTGGTTTTACTTAATTTTGAAGATGAATGACTTGCTTGATGAATTAGTTTAATGTTATGCCAACTAGGCTCAAAAGACTCTCAGCTAATGATCTTGCCAAGTTTCAACATTTGGGGCAGGATTAAATAGAGTCCACAAGAAATTTTCAAAGTAGGGAGCTTCATATTTTCTGCTTTTCTCTTTTCACCAGCCTGTGATCAGAAAAGGTGTCTCTTCCAAAGGATAACATTTTTCAGAGTCATCCTTTATTAAGTACTTAATAAAGTATGTCAGGTATTTCCCTCATTATTTTACAAACATTAAGTAATTAAAACCCTAAAAGAATTCTAACAAGTTTATTATTCACATTGTACAAATGATAGGATTGAAGCTCAGAGAAATTAAGCAACACATAACAAAGCATTGTCCTCTCTCTGACCTTTATAATTCAAAACCAAGTCTGTCTGAAATCAAAGCCAAGCCCAAGGCATCATTAATATTCTGGATTTTACCCTCACATTTCCCCTATCAATGTTCATCTATATCTTCTGTGTTATTTAATTGTTGGATGAGCCTATCAGGACAAAAAGTACAAAAGATAACCTGTGTTTTATGTACAAAGAAAGTATGACTCATCATAAGGCCTAATATTCTTTGTCTCCTCTTTATCTTAACCTGTATTTATTACTCTTCTTCTCAATTCTTAAACCAGTAAGAATTGAGAAGAGTAACCAGTCAACTTTCAGAGGTTTCTAATCCCTATTCAAAATCATCCCCTTTCTCAACCTAATGCTTTCTATTAATTATATTTCTTAAGTTAAACCTAAAATAGAAAACCAGAATATCTGATTCACAGCTATATTATAACTTGATTAGGGGCCCAGTGCATGAATTCACGTACCTTGAAAGGAACTGTGTGCCATGAGGCTGTGATGGACACAAGGGCAAGTCTTGGTCGGCCCCTCCCACCATAGCCCCTGGTCCTCTGTCTGCAGGCAGCCCTGCTCCCACCACCACTCCCATTAGCTGACAGTGCCACCACCCTGCTCACACCCGCTGATGATGCAGAGTGATTAGTGCAAGCAGGGCTGACGCCATCAGTGGGTGCGAGTGACAGCTGCTGCCTCAATCAGCCCTCTGGAGCTGGGGGAGGTAGAGAAGCCCTCAGGAGCAAGCATGGCTGGAAGCCACCACTCACACCCACTGATAGTGCTGAGCAATCGGGACCAGCACTGGGAGATGGCAGTGGTATGAGCAGTGGGTGTGAGAGATGTTTAATGGCCCCAATTGCCCCTCAGGAGCAAGGGGAGGTGGAGAAGCCCTGAGGAGCAATCAGGGCCAGCAGTTGCCACTCACACCTGCTGATGGCACCAAGCAATTAGGGCTGGCACCAGGCATTGGCACAGGGTGCATGCAGTGGCTCCAGCACCAGCAGCAGGTGTGAATGCCAAGTAGGACCACAGTGTGCAGAGCAAAGAATTTTCAGTAACCACCAGGCTCAGCCCAATAACAGTGACCAGCACTCTGCCTTGGTCTGGCGCCCACCCTCCCCCCCTCACCTGCTCCACCATCCCACCATGATTGACGCTCGCCATTGTTCTGGGCTCTGCTGCCTGCTGCTAACGGTTGCCATGTTCTGTACGTACCGCCTGGTCAGTGCACATCACAGTGACTGGTTGTTCGGTTGTCCCACCATTCAGTCTATTTATATATTATGGTTTAATATACATAGATTGTTTTCACTCTATGAAATTGAGGCTTTAAATGGAGGAGAATCTCACTCTCCTTTGCAATCCCCAGGTGTTTCATCTCCTGCCACTGGCCTTGACTACTTGCATCTACCTTCAAGGAGATATAGCTAATCAGATTGGTCAGATTCCAGAATCCTCTTTGGAATACTTATGTTGGTGGACAGTGTTATAAAGTGCTCGGGAATGTCTAAATATCAGCCAGAGCTATCGTTTTCTTTGCTTCCTGTTCCATGAGGCATATTTCTAATATGTCTCAATAATTTATTTGTTTTTATCACATGCAGACAAATCTAGGGCTACTGCCCTGGCCAGAGGTAGGTAAAGGAGGAAGGGAGGAAAGAAGTGGGGGAGGAAGCTCTCTCTATTCTGATGGTCTTGAATCAATTTCAAAATATGTGGTCTTGTTTATTAGAGACCCTAGGCCTGTGGTCAGCAAACTGGGCTCATGAGCCATATGCGGCTCTTTGGCCCCTTGAGTGTGGCTCTTCCACAAAATACCATGGCCTGAGTGAAGTCTATTTTGAAGTGGCATTTGAAGAAGTTTAAGTTTTAAAAATTTGGCTCTCAAAAGAAATTTCAATTATTATACTGTTTATATTTGGCTCTGTTGACTAATGAGTTTGCTGACCACTGGACTAGGCCAGAGTATGGAGCAATGACAGTCCATCCAGTAACAAATAGTACTCTAATTCTCCATTTGTCATCACCTCTTGTGTAGTTAACAAGCTTGAAGACTTCAAGCAAAGCCATGGGGTCTATGCCAAAGCAAGATCTGAACATCCTGTGTCCCTGGCTATTGGACCGTCTAATCTAAGCATAACCTTCATCCCCAACAAAACCACTATACACATCATAAGTGTTTGATCTCTTATGGCTGCTATTTTTCAATTGATGGAGCGATAACTGAGTTAAATCAGAAGCTGTGGTGGTGATGTCCACTGTATATAGTGAGAGTCACTAATAAACATCCCCAGATGTAAACACAAATCTTGGAGCCTCAAACCTGGGGCTCCAAGTCCCTGAAAATCAGAAATTCCCTCAAACTAACATGGTGCACACAGTCCCTGTGCAACCAACCAAAGTCCTGGGAGTCCACTCACCCGCGCACTCTGCCCTGCGATGAGCTGGTCATCCTCGGTCTGAACACTTGTTCTACTGCGCACGTCATAGTCCTCCTGCTCAAAGTCAGAATCGTCCTCCAGTTCTTCTGGAGTCTAAAGATAAATCGGAAAGAGAAAATTCATTATATTTTTAATTGAACCTTTACTCCCATCCATACACTTAATCACTGCAAAAGCTAAGTAGCCCCCAAAGAGAGTTTGTAGGGGATTATATGTAGGGGGTTATGTGGGAAGTAATGACTAGAATAGCATCAGAAAAACCAAGCTGCCCTAGTTTACCTCTTTAAAAAATACATTTTGTTCATTACTTCCTTCTGTAGGTGTAGCAAGTCTAATTATTAATATGACATGCTTTTTAAGAAAAATATATTTGTGCATTTCCACTCATATATTCTAAGAGAGAAAAATCATCAACAGCAACAGTTATGCCTATGCTGTTTATGTAATGCCCATTTTTCTCTATTCCAGCTCTCTTTTAGTCTCAATAAGCTCAAAAAAGATTTGACCACTTTCGGTTCAATACTGGATCTGATGAAATATCTGATGTAGTCACTAAGCCATTTAGTAAAAAGTTACAACTATAGATTCTGCAGTCAAAAATGCCTAAAACAAAAACCCCTAAATGACCATGGGAAAATGCTCCCTTAGTGTTGGTTTCCAAGTCTATAAATAGGTAGTGATAAGAGTAGCTAACTATATGATTGTTGTATAGCTTAAGTAATGTACTCTGTGTAGTTTCTGGTAAATAAGCATTTTAAAAAGGTATGCCATCATTATTACTTGGGATTTTGAAACACATTCATTCAAACATTTTTATAGTGAAGCCACCAACTACTACATACCCACTAAGGACTAGCTTTTTCATGCATAGCATCTATTTAGCTCAGTATAGCACAATAAAATAGTTTTGGAGACTTAAGCAGATCCATGATGTCTTAGCCAATGCAAGATCTAGTCATTCTGTGCATCCTGGCTGTTGAGCCATCTAAATGTAATACCGAATCCCAACAACGTCTATTATGTGTGTATGTATTTGCCTTGATATGGCTGCAATGGTTCAAGTGATAAGAGTGTTCTCATATCCACTTAGAGCTGAGAAAACTAAGACTCTGAGAAATTAAGCAATGTGCTCAAATGCTTCTGAACTAGCTAATAACAGAACTAGCATTTAGACCCAAACACCCAGTGCATTTGACTCCAAGTTGTTTCATTGTTATAGTCACAACCCCACCACCACCCACATTACAAATCAGGCAACAACTGAAGGTACGGAATGGCTTTAAAGTGAGTGGAATTAGCTTTAACGGGTTCAGTGGATAGAGGGTCCCAGGTTCAATTCAGATCAAGGACACACTCCTGGGTTGTGGGCTCGATCCCCTGTGCGGGTTGTGCAGGAGGCAGCTAGTCAATGATTCTCTTTCATTATTGTTCTCTATCTCCTCTCTCTCTCTCTCAAATCAATAAAACAATATTTTCTAAAAGAATAATATACTGAGTGGACTCAGAAGAAATTCTGTCAAATGGGTACAGTCAGTGTTGAAAAAAAGATGCACATTAATATATAAACACTGAAATTTAGAAAAATGCTGCCATCTTTAATGAAAATAATAATTAGTAACATGCATTAAAGGCTTTCTGTGTGCCGATCACCATTTTCTCTAAGTGCTTTACATACATTAACCTGGTTTTCTTTACAGTCCTACCATGTAGACATCATTTTCTTCATTTTACAGGTAACAAAACTGAAATGTGAGAGGCTACACATGTTGTAAAGTGCTTTGAAGCACGTTGTCTAAACTATCACACTCTGTTCATTCTAAGAGGATGAACTCAGGAGGCTGCAAGGATGGTGTGTGAGGAGCAAACAATGCAGTAGCGCTTGCTACATTCCTAGCTCAAGTCTCATTAGCCTGAGGGTGATGTCACCCACAAACTGCCTCTTGAAACACAGCAGCACCTCCTCCCAGGGCTCTGTCTTTCAAAGGGAAGGGACAGTCACAGGCAGTCCCGATGATGCAGTGGCTCATTCACCATCAGTAGGAGCACATTTTCATTCTGCTGGTTTCTTTGGCTACTGCAGCATGATTAATCAGCATGGTTATTGATGAAGCCTTGAGATTGGTCAGACAGGCATAAAATAGGGTCCTTCATGCCAACATCACATCATGCCTAGTCATTTTCCAAGCTTTGGCACACCCTCTTGTTTTCCTTCTCTCACCATCAGCCTTATTAATATTTACTCGCTCATCTACAGATGTTCATTGTTCTTTCAGAAGAACATTATAGAAAGAGGGGAGAAAAGAGTTTTGTTTCTATAATTTATTAACTAAAGCAGGACTGAGGTGGACAAAACCTAATTCAAATTACGGGTGAATTTTCACTTTAGACAGAGATTATAAACTCTGACCATTCTCACTCTTCTGGAATGTCCTACAAAACAATTACAGCAAGTGGGTAAATTCTGCTCACAGATGAGATGACAAGACTGCACACATTTCTCATCATTTGTTTTTGAAAAGGAGAGAGCCAAGTAAAATGAAAAACCTCACTCAATAGATAAAAAGGAGAATGTGACAGTGTCTATAGAACGATGGCATTGTATTCAAGTGACTATGGCTCGGGAACCAAAATAAAGTTTTAAAATGAAGGAATGACCTGGATGTGGACCCAGGAAAGCTAAATGTGTTTGTCCCAATTCTACCTCTCCTAAGTTGTCTTTGGCAAGTCACTTAAAGCTTTTCTTCCTCTCTGTCTCCTCACTCTTAAAGTGGATCTAATAATGTCCTACCTGCCTCAAAGGATTCTAAAATCAAATATATTTTAGAATCATATATCCTATCTAATAAAGAGTAATATGCAAATTAACCAGCACTCTGCTACACCCACAAGCCATGTCCACCAACCAGTCAGGAACAAGTATGCAAATTAACTCAACCAAGATGGCTATGGCCTTAGAGAGAGCAGGAGGCTTGGGTTTCCCCAGCAATGTAGGAAGCCAAGTTTCCTGCAGACCCTGGCTGGCCCAGGCCTCCACTCATGGCTACAAAGTTTCAATTATAGAAGGCAAATAAATCCCAATCAAAATGGCTGTGGCCACAGAGCAAGCAGGAGGCTTGTCTCTGCTCAAGGCTATAAAGTTTCAATTATAAAAGATAAATAAATCACAGATACCAGGGCCTCCGCTAGGGTCACTGGGGGAAATGAGGGCAGGAAAGGGATGGCCAGCCTGCAAACCACCACAGGCCTCATGCCCAGGCATAACAATATTTTAGCAACAGGTTCCCAAACTTTATTGCTTCAAGCATTCTCATTGCCTCAATAATTTTTCATGGCAACTTTAGGCTAAATAGATAAATAACACCAAAATAACCCACAAACCTAGGACTATTGTACTAGGCAATAAAAAGTGAATATAGTGAATCAGACCTAATAACTTAGTGCCTGGTACATATTGTATGACTGACTTCTCAGACCTTGTAATGCAATTGAACATCTATTGAACTTGCTTTCTATCCCCAATTACCAGAAACCCAGTATCACAATTATATGATATCTTCCAAAGAAATGAACAAATATGATATTTAACTGTGAACTACCTTCAGCTAATATGTCACATATTATCTGAAAGATTTTCATGTGTTTCCCTGGACATGTAAATGCCTTGCAATGATCCAGGGTACATCATGCCTCGTTTGGGAGATATAAACTTATAGACCTGTATCTGAACCCTGGCCCAGGCCCTGTTGTTTCACACATAACCAAATTAATGGGTTCCATTCACAAAAGTTTAGCTTGTAATTTTCATTATAGATTATTTTCATCGTCATGCTTATGAGCAGCACTTACTGTTTGCTAATACAGATATCCTGACACCAGAGTATCATCATCACCTTCTATCCTACTCATTTTAATTTCCAGTATTAAACGTCTAACTCTTTTTGTCTTAAATATACATGTGCTCCTCACTATTTGTAGGTTATTTACTTGTAATCTTTCCACTCAAAGTTTCTTTGCATGCCCAAGTCAGTACGTTTGTAGTTATTCACAGACATCCATAATATGGCACACATTACCTGAGAGATAATGTGTGCCATATTGTGGTCACCCAATGTGCATATATCTGGCTGAGGTCACCCAACACAATGCTTTGTCTTCTTGTACAGCTCATGCTGGAAACAAGTGTCCTTTCTCCAGTCTACTTAGTGACAATTATTTTGCTCAAAATAGCTTCTGAGCATAGTGTTGCAATGCTGACGAGTGTTCCTAAATGCATGAAAGTTGTGATGCTCCTTATGGAGAAGATGCATTTGTTAGATAAGCTTACTTCAGGCACAATTCATCTTGCATTTGCTGGGAGTTCAATGTTAAGGAATCAACATCCTATATTAAATAAAGTATCTTTAAACAAACCACAAATAAAATCAGGTTGGGTATTTGATCAGTTGATAAAAATATGACCAGAGGCTCACAGAAAGTTAAGCCTGAATTTCAGGGGAGGGACTAGTTTCAGCATTCTCTATTCCATTGTTCAGAGAACCAGTACAGAATACAAGGCTGCAAATAATAAGAATCAAATGCATGCTAGTGTTCCAGACTTTCTTATTCCTTTTTAAAATGACCATGCTGGAGTAATCAGAAAATGCCTATGTAGTGTATAAATCAGCCAGAAGAAAAAAAAAAACTCAGCAAGAAGCAAACAAAATGAAAAACCAGTTTTGTGACCCAGCTGGTGTTGCTCAGTGGTTAAGCATCAATCTATGAACCAGAAGGTCATGGTTCAATTCCTGGTCAGGTCATATTCCTAGGTTGCAAGCTCAATCCCCAGTGTGGAACATGCAGCAGGCAGCTGATCAATGATTCTCTCTCATCATTGATGTTTCTATTTCTCCTTTCCTCTCAAAAATAATCAACATATATGTTGGCCCAGGGCTCAGATACAGAATTATATAGTCAACACTTTCGGAGAGAAGGAGGCATGGCCAGTTTTACTGGGAAGGGACCAGTTCTATTTGTCTTACTGTCTTTCTTCCTGACTTAGTGCAATTAAATCATTTTCAAGTAGACTTAATCATTATACTCAAAAGCAACCCAAGAAATTAAGTACAAAATGAAGCCATTTGGGTGCTAAATGGAGAAGGCATTTAAAAATAACAATTTGTATACGCTGTACATTTCTCTCTTCTTAAGTTTTACGTGGTGTGAAATCCATCTGATTAAATGACTGGAAATGTCAAGATGGAGGAATGACACTTCATGCAACAAAGATATGGCATTTTATCGAAAATTGTGTGTTTTTACAGATCATCAATGTATAAAAGAATGATGGCTATAAATTGCCTCTGTCTCTCGGATGAATGGTTGTCACAGAAGTGTGAAGGCTAACAAAGCAGAAAAATGGCAAAAGAGAGGGAATATGTCTTGAGGATTATAGTGGCATTTAGTGCCAAATGCTTTGAAAACATAACTCTCATGGTCTATTACTTTATTTTACATGTTAGTATGTAATGAGAAAAAAAAATGATCTAATTTGTTACAGTCTTGAAAGGCTGACTCTCCTTACTTTCCTTCTCCTCTAATTCTCCTATATTTTTCCTGTCACCTTCCCATCTGCCTAACTACCTATCCTATAGGCCCCCAAAACACACACCCTAGTTTGGGCCACACACCCTGCATAGTAAGTAGTAAGCACTATACTAGACAATGCAGTACAGTGGAAGGAAAATACAAGAACAGCCATTGCTTCCTAAGCTTTCACAGTCTTAATAACATTTAAAAAAAACTAAGTAAACAGCATGATATGTACTATTACATAGTTAGCGTTTGTCAAAGAATAGGGTCAATATTTTTGAGGGAGAAAATTTGGGGAAGGAAGACTTGAGCCAGGTCTTAAGAGATGGTAAGTTGAAACTGCCTTATGATCCAGAGATTCCACTTCTAGGAATTTATTAGAAGAAACCTAAAACTCTAATTTGAAGGAATATATGCACTCATGTTCATTGCAGCATAATTTACAATAACCAAGATTTGGAAGCAACCCAAGTGTCCATCAGTAGATGAGCAGATAAAAAAGCTGTGGTACATTTGCACAATAGAATATTAATCAGCCATAAAAAAGAGGGAAATCTTACCCTTGTAACAGCATGGATGGACCTGGTAAGTATTATGCTAAGTGAAATTAGACTAAGTGAGATTCAAATGTGGAATCTAATAAACAACATAAACTGACAAAGTTGAGATACAGAGAACAGACTGACAGCTGTCATGGGGGAGGATTGTGGAAGCTAAGTGAGATCGATGAAAAAATTAAGCAAAGAAAAATAACAGAGACCCATGGACACTGCCAAATAGTATGGTGGTTGCCAGAGAAAAGGGAGAGTGGGAAGAAGTAGAAGAGTGTAAAGAAGGGATAAATGTTGATGGAAGAAGACTCAACTTGTGGTGGTAAACAAACAATTCAATATACAGATGATGTATTATAGAATTGTGTACCTGAGGTTATATAATACTATTAACCAATTCCACCCCAATGAAATCAATTAAAAAACAAACAAAGCCAGTGTGCAAACACCTAGAGAGCAAAAGGATAAACGAAAAAAAAGAAAGAAAAAGAAAGATGGCAAGAGTTGTTATTTGTGTTCCAAGTGAAAAAGTTTGGTAAATGTTTCAGAAGAAGCATGGATATCAATAAGACAGAGGAGAGGCCCTTTGTGGTGATGCTCCCCTCCCCTTGCTCAGACCACCCTGGAAGCACCGCGCTGTCCTTTGCATACTACATTGGAAGAGGATGGACTCATGCCTATTTAATTACTACAAAGAACCCAGAATTTGGGGGACAATTAATGCCATCTGTGAAATCCTGGAAGGACCAGGCAAATATATTATCCAGAGAGAACAATACATTGCAGACACTTCATGAAACATCTGAATGACCACATACTAGAAAATTAATTATTTAGTTATTATCGTTTTTCAGTGTTTGAGGGATGTTAGTTTAGATGCTCAGTGGTCATTCTGACAGAGAAATTTTCAGAATACACACAGCAAGATGCTTGTGGTTTCATCAAGTTGCCCAGAGACAATTGTAGAGGTTGAGAGTGAGGATACAGTCAAGGGCTACTTGTCCAATATGGTGGAGTACTGAGCACTTCCAGTGTGGCTAGTGTCACATGTTGAAATGGTAAAGTTTTGGATGCATTAAGCTGAATAAAATATATTATTAAAATTGATTTCAACTGTGGTTTATTTTTAATGCATCTACTAGAAAATTACAAATGTGGCTTACATTTTATTTCTATTGGGCAACATGTTCATCATTTCTGGTTTTTGCATATTTAAATTTATTTTAAGAAAGTTCTGTGGCTAAAATATGTTTTAAAACTACTATGTCAAACTGTTAATGAGCTAGGGAGAAAAAATAGCTCATCTTATAATGGAGCATTATGCAGTAGTTAAAAGAAAATGAGGTAGCTAATGCTTTTTAAAAGAGATAGATGAAGACTCATTGTGAGTTAAATTCAATTGCAAATTATATTTATGAGTTTTAAAATCTATTGTGTAGTGTGAGTACCTGACACGCAGTGTTTATTCTCATTTTATTTATTAATTAGAGGCCTGGTGCACAAAATTAATTCCTGGTTGGGGGTATCCCCTCAGCTCAGTCTGCCTCTCTCTCACAGTCCAAGAGATCTCAAAGGATGTCCTACTGACAGCCATGGGGAGTGGGCCTAAGCCATAGTCTAGCCTTCCTCTGTGGGAGGCAACCGGCTGATCATCATCACCCCCTTGCTATTGCCACTGCTGGCCACCAAGATGTTTTTATCAACACAGACTCCAGTCCCTTCACCATGAAAAAAAATGACAACTCTTTTTAGACATTTTCAAGATGTCTCTGTCATAGGATATGACATTTCTTTTTTTCTTTTTTTATCCTCACCTGAGGATATTTTTCTATTGATTTTTAGGGAGCATAGAGAGGGAAAAACAGAAACATCAATGTGAGAAGGACACTTTGCTCAGTTGCTTCCTGCATGAGCCCTGACCTGGGTCCAAACCAGGGAAGATCCTGCAACCTGGGTACATGCCCTTGATCAGAATCAAATCCTGACCCTGCTGTATACAGGCCAAGGCTCTATCCAATGAGCCAAACTGGCTAGGGCAGGATATGACATTTCTTAGCCCCTTCAGCTGTGGACCTTAGCTTTTTCCTCCAGGAGTGAGGTGGAAAATCCTAGATCACCTTCTTGGATTCTTATTACCCAAGTTACCAAGAACACTGCAAGTGGCAGCATACAGGGAGCTTAGCCAAAGAGAGGTCAGAAAAGGTGTTACTTCTGCAGCTCATGCAAAGAGGCAGAACTACTGGAATGATGCAGCTGGCAGCCCCCATCTCAACTCTGGGCCTGCTCAAGCTGCTGAGGCTAGTGCTGGCAGGTGCCCCTGTCTGTCTCCAATCTGGGCCTGATCAAGCTGCCACAGAATCTGTGACTTGCCTCACCTCCCATGTAGTCCCCTCCTGCCCAACTGCATGCACAGTCTCCTCTTCAGTGGTCTTGATGTTACAGCATCCAGGATAATATGCATATTACTTCTTTATTTATTTATATGTATCATTGTAGATTTTCAATATGACCAACTGTAAACCTATTGTTTTCCCACCCTGGATGTTTTCTAGCATTAGTTTATATATAATTACCCTTTGGGAGGCTTACACTGACCTGACAACAGCAGACGGAGGATGGGAAGATAGTAGAGTAGGTGATAGGGGGAGGTTCACTGAGACAATGTCTTGATTACTTGTGACAGGGAGAATGTAGCTGTCTATCATTTTTTTGTAACTTTTATCACTATAAGCTAGGTAATCTTCATTTATTTCTATTCTATGGCTTCAAGATCCTGATGAGGGGGAAATGCTAGCAAAACAAAGTTGGAACCAAATTTAGGAAATAATGAAGGCCAGAATCAGGCAAGATCACTACAGGACACTCATCACTCATCACTAACCGGTGCGTGCTGCGGTCCGTTAGCTCTTTATAAGTAAGAAGTTACCAATGCCTGAGTAAATGAGGAGCCAAACATCTTGTCAAGTTATTTGACTAAGTAATGACAAATAAATTGGTGAGTTTTCTGGAGTCTATCAGAAGGTCTGATAAGCCCTGAGCCAGAGGCCTTACCTACCCTGATCATCAGCACAGCCTTTCTGATGTCCCGAACGCCATCATACACCAGGCGAGAGGCATCGATGAACTCATTCTCTTCAAATGGTTGAGGGATGTTGGCACTCAAGGCTTCAATGGCAACCTCCACTTGTTCAGCAAAGCGTGGCATCACTGGGTGAACAAAATGGAAAACAGGGCATTAGATAATCCTTCTCATGATCCCTTGTACAAGCCATTGGGTGAGGTGGCTGGCTCTGAGCATTCCAATGGTTCAGTGGAGCTGACTGTCCACCAGTCCAGTCTGGGTAAACCCAATTTAGTGGTCTTCGCGCTACTTACTCCATGAACGATGATGGAATTCAATGGAACAAGCTTTTGAAACCTGCCCCAGGTTATGTGTTAGAACGTGAAGCATTTCATGTTATCCTAATCTGAGCTAGGTTCTACTGCTGCTATGAAACCTTGGCTAAGTGTTCTTAACTCTTCTAAACCTGTGTCTAAAAAATATAATAAGCTTGGCCATTGTGGCTCAGTGGTTGAGCACTGACCTATGAACCAGAAGGTCAGGGGTCAATTCCTGGTTAAGGGCACATGCCCAGGTTTCAGGCTCAACCCCCTGTAGGAGATATGCAAGAGGCAGCCTACTGATGATTCTCTCTCATCATTGATCTCTCTCTCTCTCTCTCTCTCTCTCTCTCTCTCTCTCTCTCTCTCTCTCTCTCCCTTCCTCTCTAAAATCAATAACAATATATTTGATCCTTCCTTAGGATTCAATAGGGTAATGCGTATAAATGTATTAGATGGTCCATAGAAAATCTCCAGAAATACGTAACTAATTTCAGATGCTAAAGTCATAACTGGTGAGTAGAAGACCTTAACTTACATGATCTCATAGTAAAGTATGAATGAAAAGATCTTGTCCTTTCTACTTTTATCTGAAATGCAAGATTCATGGTGTTTAAGGGGGTGGAAGGACTGTGTAAGAGGAGAGAGGGAAATCCAGAGAGTCCCCAGCAGAAAGCCCATGCAGATTAGATCATTCCATCTTACCAGAACCACCTTGGTGTGAAACTAGATGCATATATGCTTTTCTAAATTGCTGACACCTCTTTCTTTAAACTAGGACACCTACATAACCACAGAAGTTTTTGGAAAGTAAACTCAGTAGGATGTCTGGAATACTTAAGAAAATGATGCTAATTCACTGATTCTCAAAAATTATAATTTGATTTACTCAATTGTTATAATAATCAATTCATATGGCAAAAGAAAGCCAAGAGAATAGTTCATTTTATTTACAAGGACAATAAAATAGAAACATACTTCATCTCTTTTCATTTCTGAATTTTCATGCCTGATTCATCTTATACTTATTTTCATCCTCTGTGGAAATTTTAACATCCATTTGAATCCCTAGTTTGAGAAACTCTGATAAATTACTTTACTGTCCAGGGTCAGAGTATTCAAGATAGAACATTCCTAGAAAAAAAAATGTATTACTAAGAAAGGTCAAAGATTTTATTTTATTTTTTTTTAAGGAGGGTTAGATGAAAACAGAACAATCATTCTTTCAAAAGAAATTATCACACCCAAAGCATTCATTGGGTGAATTTCCTTCCATGAGTGAACTGGTTCTCTATACTATTTGAATTTTTCACTTGGGCTTTTGAGCTGCATTTATAAGAGGAATTTGGGAGATTTTGAGCTGCACTGCCTCAAATATGAATCCAATAAAAATACATTTCTAAAACCACCACATTCAACTCAGGCCAGTTCAACCATCCTTTTGTGCTGGGAACAAACTTTCACACTAAAAAGTCTAGGTAATTGAAACTGAAACTTAAGCATGAAAATATTTATTGTAGGTATTAGGCATTTTCATATGAGTACTTTCCTTTAAATTTTAAAATTCCCTTCTTTCCTAAACTGAAAATCCCGAATACTAACTCCTTTCTATTTTATGTTTAAGTTGCCATCATGACCATCAACCATTTTACATATTTATATACCATGAGTAGCATTTGGCTGCATATATTTGTGTCCCTGTTGTATAATTGATAGAGGATCAGGAACCCTGTGTATAGATAAAATACACACTCCTACAAATCAATAAGGAAAATTTAGAAAAATAGACGAACGTTAGGACAGGCAATTCAGAGAAAAAAGAAATCATGTATTATAATCAGATGCTTGATTTCACTAATATTTGGAAAATATTAGCAATATAAACTATGAGATATTATCACATTTCTGTTGTGAGGGGCAAACAGATTAAAACCTAATAATATCCACTTTGTTGAACATGTAGACAAAAGGGAATCCTTCTACTGTAAATGAAGGGAAAATAGGTATACATCATTTTGCCAAACATGTTGACAAAAATCTAATAAAGCAATCTCGTCTCAACCTAGAGTATGGACAAATGTTATTTGTGAAGAGATTTTGAGTACGTGGGCTGAGTACACTGGAGTCACAGGAATGTCTTTGTATCTCTTTGGTTACAGTTGTTTCTTCTTTATAGGTTGTATATTCTAAGAGTTAATTAAAATATTTATATAAAATCTGGGAATAAGCCCCAACTGGTTTGGCTATGTGGACAGAGTGTGGACTTGCAAACTGAAGGATCCCAGGTTTGATTCTGGTCAAGGGCACATGCCTGAATTGTAGGATCAATCCCCAGTAGGGGTCATGCAGGAGGCAGCCAATCAATGATGCTCTCTCTCATTATTGATTCTTCTCTCTCTCCCTCTCCCCTCCTCTCTTCTCTATCCCTCTCCCTTTCTCTCTTCTCTATCCCTCTCCCTTCCTCTCTGATATCAATATAATCATATTTTTAAAATAAAAATAAAACCTTGGAATAAGAATAGTTAAGGGCTTTATGAACAGGTTCTATCCAGGTTCTGTTATGAGTCTTGAACTCTGGAGGAACCACTGTGAGCTGCTCATTCCAGGTCCATGGGCAGTATATCTGGGTGGATAAAAACGGACTTAGGGCTGCAAATCAGGGGACAACTGATATATTAAAGTGAGTGCAGAGGTCAAAGTTTCAACTGGGAAAGGCAAATTGAAAAGAGATATCATTTGTGAGAATTTGTAAAACCACACGAGTACTGTGGATAATTTAAAGCAATATGCATTTTTATTTCCTGGATATATACCACCTTCAGTTAGAGTGTTTACCTTTGAGAGAGAAAAGAGAGACATGTTATTAAGTGGAGATCTTAAAGAGGCCTCAAATGTATCTTAACTCTAAGAAAAGAATAATGTGAATCAGATATGGCAAAATGCTAATATTTGTTACACCTCAGGGTAGAAGGAGGCTGTCAGATTTATTAGGCTCTGTTCCTTTTGATTCTTTGAATCTCTGCATGATTCAAATATTTAAAAAGAGATCAACATATTATCTTCAAGGCAATACTTCTTATAGAATAAGGCTCTGAGAAAATACAGTTCCAGCTCATGGCTCAGAACACAATACAAATTAATTTGGTAACGGTATTAAGTGAGGAATTCCCTCACAACTTATGACTGTGATCAAATGCTCAATATTCAACCTGAATAACTGCCAGTTGGAAGGCTGAGTTAGGGAGAATCCACCTCCTATAGCTCAGGGCCCACACACATCTCCATTTGCAAGAAGACCTTTGCTAGAGTCTGAAAGGGTGTGCAGGGGTTGTGTGTTACTTTGTTTTTTTGTGTGTGCAAGGTCGCCCTGAAGAAGAGTTTGGGAAAAGGAAAATGCAGGAGGTGACCTACTATCTTTTGCACCTGCCTCTGGGTCTGATTCTGCCCAAAGGAAAGAGCAGAAAGCTAACTAAAATCTAAAGGGACAATTTCCATAAGGGATGCTCCAGGGCCCCAAATTTGCCCAGTGCTACCCTAATATCTTAAATTTGGAGAAACGAATTCTGTTTGCTCCTGCACGTAGAGTAGAAATGCTCAAGGGGGATTTAGGAGGATGTGGTCTCGGTAAAAACAACCGTGTTGATGATATAGCATTGTTGAAAGAGGCAGAAACAAGGTCGTTTTATAAAGAAATATAAACAGAAAATAGCATCAACTGTCCCAGGAGGGAAATGGCAGAAAAGGGTATGCAAAATCATTACTTTCCATATGGGGCCTCAGAGTACAATTTAGTGTTAATATTCCAATGGCTTTATTATACTCCACAAACTGGTAAAGTCTAGAACTTGGACTCATTTTCATTTGATTTGATTTCCTATAACTGACAAGACATCTATTTTTCTTAAAAGTCAGGTGTGTTTTTTGTTTGTTTGTTTTGTTTTGTTTTTTTCTGAATTTGATCCTTAAGAAAATCTGTCTCTCACCAAAACCGGTCTGGCTCAATGGATAGAGCGTTAGCCTGCGGACTGAAAGGTCCCGGGTTCAATTCGGGTCAAGGGCATGAACCTTGGTTGAGGGCACATCCCCACTAGGGAGTGTGCAAGAGGCAGCTGGTCAATGATTCTCTCTCATTGATGTTTCTAACTCTTTATCCCTCTCTCTTCCTCTCTGTAAAAAATCAATAAAATATATTTTTAAAAAATAAAAGTGATAAGACAAAAAAACAAAGGTTTCTAGAACAACCCATTTTGACCTAAGATATTAGTTTATGAATTATTCTAACACTTTAATAGGGTCTGAAAAATCAAATACCACCAAAGTAACACTGAGATAGAAAATCTCAAACTACTTCAAGTATAGAGCTGATTTTGCTTCCCACTAATTAAGACAAAACAGCACTAGCTTTATGATTCGCACATTATATATTAATAGAGTTTCTGATATAAATAGAAGCTTCTTCCTACCTTCTGAATTACATCCAAAAAGTTTAGATACCACTTTACTGTTATTTATCAAAAATCCTGAAATGCTTTTAATAGCTTATGTCCTGAAAGGGAGATTAAAGTTAGAAATAAACTTTTAAATCCTTGCTATACTTTTGTATGCAGAGTGCACACTGGGCCACAGAAAGATGACATTCGAGGAGCAATGAAATCAGAGTTAAGTATGCATATAAAAAATCAAGGTCGTCTTATTCTAGTGTTGAGATCCTAAATCAGAGGTGAAAGAGATGTGGACTAAATCCTCCTGAGAGACTTCAGGGGTGAAGTTTCAGAGCACAGGGTGAGTCACTGAAATGAATAGAAAAGTTTTGCTAAAGATGCAAA